TTCCACCAGACACGTAGCTGGGTTATGGATCCTGATTCATGGTTATGAATCGGCCCAGTGCAGTGAAGGACAGACTTCCACCCAGGCTTCTTTCATCTTATGGATCTGCTCTCTCTTAGGGCTTTGGAATCCTTTTCCTCCAAGAAGAGAAAGAGAAAGCAGAAGGATAATAGGAGAGGTATTTAATTTTAATTTAAATCCCTTAACCTTGACTTCCTTACCCATAAGCAAAAGGAAGTGATGTTGGATTTGTGCTTCTTGGTACCCAGGGATCCAGAGGAAATTTCTCAGTTTTCAAAATGACTAATAGAAATACTGCCTTTAGCTTACAGGAACATAGGCTAAGAAAAGTACACTGTCTTCAATTTGAGCTTCAGTGACTTCAACACAGCATGGGCATATTCATGATTTCATGTGAATCATAAACCTACGTTTACAGTCACGGAGATCTTCAGTATCCTGGAAAAGTATTTGCTAAGTTTGCTAAGAAGTATACTTGGTAAAATTCTTTCAAACCAAGAAAGCACAAGAGAAGAGTTAAAAAAAATTTTTTTTTAAAGATGGAATAGTAGGATTCTGGAAGGTACTTTCTGTCTTTGAATTTACAAGGACCAGCTTACCAACTGGATAGCAGAATTGGCTTATTGTCTAGTTCTAATAGAGGCCACAGGTGCGTGGCATTGTAAGTAGAAATATTCTTGGCTTCCTGTTTTGTTTGTGTTCTTTTTATTGTTCTTTGTGACCCACATTTTGCTATTGGCTTAAAATGACGTCATGGTTTTCTCTGTGATGATGAAAGCATAAAACTTTTCTGCTTATTTCGTGAAAACAAACTAGTGTCAGGTTGTTGGAATTCAATAATTTAAAGATGAATAGAGGTCATAAACAGGACCTACTTCACATTCCCAGGAGGACATGGGAAAATCTGATATTTTAGGGAGAGATGTAGAAAAATAAAAAGGAGAAGATCTACATCTTCAGCCACGAACATGGTACTAGGCTGACCACTACATGAAAGGGACATTACCCAGCTGGATTATGGAGCTGCAAGTCCCAGTGAGATCATCCTTGCATATCTAGGTTCTGTAATCTAGGAAAGTTTTTTTTTTTATGACAATGGCATAACAAGTTTCATTTGGATCTTAGGATCCAAACGAGAAATCATTTCTGAAGTATTGGGAGGCCACTAAACCTTAATTCACTGGTATTGGTTTGGGTTTGTTAACACTCAACTGTGTATGTCAGTATTACCCTAGTTTGGTAAGCCAGCAGCTCCTCATGTGCTCAGCACATATCTGTAGCCTTCACACACAGATGGGCCTCACTGCACCATGTGTCTTTCTATGTTCCTAGGAGAACAAACAGGAGTGTGAAAACTTGGGTCCATCCAGGTGCAGTGATGTGTACCTGTAATCCCAGCTACTAGAGAGGCTGAAGCGGGAGGATTGCTTGAGCCCAGGTTTCAAAGGCCAGCCTGGGCAACACAGAGAGATTCTCTTTTAAAAAAAAAAAAAAAAAACTCAAAACTTCCAAGTTCATCTTATTCCCCTTTTTCTTAGAACACGGATAAGTTCCTCTAAGAAATATCCTTCAATATTAAATCATAACAGGCCCATCTTATTTTAACAGCTCATGTGTGCCTTATATTTGAACCTTTAGAGTTTAAAAACATCTACTCATATATCCTTCTCCTAAACCTCAAAACAGCCTTTCTGTACCCATCTGAAGCTTCATTTTCATTAACCTAGTATATCTCCAGATCCAGGCCATGGGAAGGTAGGTGCTCCCTGGATGTTTGTTTTGGATACGTAATCTTCAGAGAGTTAACTTTACTAGCAAATATTAACTTTAGATATGTAGTTTTTAATTTGGTTATTTTTAAAAGTTGCTCTCAGTGGGCAAACACTTGTACCTTGACATCACAAAGCTATTTTTAAATGGCAATGCTAATGTGACGTTGATTTTACATATCTTCTTATGAAGGAATGTAATAAAACACCCCAAAGATAAATAGTGTCATTGACCACTTTGTAATAAAAACATATAGTGAATATTTAAATTAAAAAAATTATTACCAGCAGGTGTGGTGGTGCATGCCTGTAATCTCAGCACTTGAGAGGATGATGCAGGAGGATTACTGAGAGATCCAGGTCATCATGGGCTACATAGTGAGTTCAAGGCTACCCTAGACTACAGTTGAGATCCTGCTCAAAAAAAAAAAAAAAAAATCACAGTGAAAGAAACATTCCATCAATCCTCCTCACAATCCTCCCCTTCACTTTGCACTTACTTATCCCATTGTCCTTGCAATTTTCTGGGGCAGTTCCGGAATTCCTCTTTCATAAGTGTCTTCAGTTGGACTGTCCTATGTCTGCCTTGATGTCCTGAGCTGATGTAAAACATTTTTTTTTCATGATCATTTTGGCTTTGGGGAAGAGCCAGAAGTCTCATGGTACCTGATATGGTGAATAAGGAGGATAACCACACATCATAAAGGTTTTATTTGACAGAAATTGTATATACATTTTGAACCAATTTAAAACACCAGTGCATCCAAGAAAAGACACTTGCTATAAATGTTAAGAGCTGCAAGAACAAAGTCTTAATTTAAGAAGACAGATGATCAGCTCTGGTACAGAGACTTCTGATGTCATCATGATGTCTCAGCAAAATGACTTGGAGGAGAGGAAGAGTCCATGGCCTGAATAGAAAACAGCTTTTTAAATTAGACTGGTTCCAACTGTGCCTATCAATAAAATAATTTTGGAATTTTAGATGTTTGTTAAATGTTTTCCTTCAAAATATCTTGTAGCTGCAAGGATTTCATAAAACAAGGATTTCATTCAGTAGATTTATTAGAGACTGCAGATGACTCTGGGGAATGTTGCATCTTACTAGTTGTCTCTGAACCTGGGATGCTTTTCCATTTACAAGGATCTCCCAACTTAGAATGGTTTAACTTGTAGCTTTTCAATGTCTCGACAGTATGAAACTGACACAAATTCAGCTGAAACTGTACTTTGAATCTTTGACTAAAAATATCTTTTCCTGGGGTAGCAGTGTGCAGTACAATGTTCTCCTCTGATGGTGGGCAGTGTCCAGCATCACAGAATCCCACAGGTTTATCACAGTACACCACAGCTTTGAGTCAGCTGCATGAACACAAAGGTGCACAGCTATGTTGGTCAGTAGGTCAGGAGTGTTCAGCGCCTTTTTGACTTATGGTAGTTTCAATTTATGATAACTTTATCAGGATGTAATCCCATTGTAAATTAAGTAGCATCTGTGGTTAGCTCTTTTTAAAGACACCTGTGGCTTTTATTCTACAAAGGTAACACTTCTTTCATTAAGTTTCATCCTAAGATTTTTTCAAATTCTATTGTAAATGGAATATTTAAATTTCTTGTTTTGGAACTTTCATTGCTAGTGTTTGGCAATATAACTGAGTTTTGCACATATACTATTGTATAGCTTTTCTTTACTGTTAAAATATTATGAACATTTTTATGTGCCAAAAAATACACTCCTATATTTTTAATGGCCTTTTACTATATCATGATATGGATATACAATAATTTGCTTGAACATTTAGGCTCCTTTAAACTTTTGAAAAGTATAAATAGCTCTTTAAAATCTTTAAAGCTCTTTAAATCTTTAAAACATTCCCCAATTATTTCTTGGCTATAAATCTCTACAATTGAGATTGTTATAGCAAAACATATACACACTGGAGTCATTTGCTAAGCACTGGAAAAACTGAATTTGTAATATTTCCACTTCTACCATGAATGTAATATTTGATTCCCTGAATTCTCTTCAACTTTAGCTTTATCTTTTAAAATCTTTACCAGTGAAAGATGAGTGACATTGACACTGTGGAGCTTGCATTTCAATCCCCAGGAAGGTCAAATTTTTGAAAATAAAACGTGTTTATTAGTTTTTAAAGTTTATTTTTCTGTGAATTGCCTGCTTCTTTTTCTTTTTTCTGTACTTGTGTAAAAGTCACGTGTATCGACAGGGAACCATTCATCCATCCTATGTTACTCATGGTGTAACATTTCTCCTTCACTGGTTTTCCACTTTTGTTAAATTCTGGTTCTTTTTTGATGCTTTTGCTGTTTCTGTCTTTCAGGTCTTGTTTCCTCTGGGACACATCCCCCTGACCATCCCGGAGTCCCTTCTAATTGCTTAGAGGGACAGGTGTGGATTTCTTCTGGCCACAAGATCCATATACCGGACCAGCGGTGTATTCAGGATCATCTGAAAGTGGGCTGTACCCTCTGTCCCGAGGCCAGGGTGACAGATCCAGTGCTTTAACAGATTGGGGATCTAAGGGATTACCCCCAAGCTACTTTTCCAGCATGGCTAGCCACAGCTATACCACAGGTTGTGTCTTTTGTTTTTTCTTTCATCTTTTTGAGCCAGGGTTTCACTATGCAGCTCAGGCTGGCCTTGCACTCATTTTGTAGCCCGGGCTGGACTCAAGCTCGCAGCAATCCTCCTGCCTCAGCCTCTCAAGTGCTGGGATTACAGATGTGCGCCACCATGCCTGGCCTTGGCTGTTTTTTAACTCCTTCCCTCTCAACTCAGGACCTCGCACTTGCCATGCAGGCCCAGTGCCGCTGCTCTGTGTGCAGTCTACCTCTCCTAATCCCAAGAGCTCCCCAGAACAGTGTTCAGTGAAAGTGTGTAGATATCTGCCCTTTCCTGCAAGCCTCTTAGGTCAGGAGCTGGCTTTGCTGGCTTTGGTCTGAGGCCACTGAGGATCGGGACTGGAGCAGGATGAGCTTTCTTGCCCTGGGGGTGGGTGCGGGCGGTGGGGCCCGGCGGGTGGAAACTCTGAACACCTCTCCCTTCCTCGCCTGTCCACGAGGTTGCCCTGCGCCGGGCGCCCGCAGAGCAGCTGCCTGCTGCCCGGGTCTGGGCGCTATCAGTTTCGGACGCCCCCGGCATCCCGGCAGCCGCAGGTCCCCGAGGCGGTGGCCGCCCCGAGCCGCGGGCTGTGCGCGTGGACGGGGGCGCGGCCCCGGCGCCGCCTATACCCGGGCTGCGCTCCCTCGGTGCACCAGACCCCGCTGCACCCGCGCGGAGAGCGGCGGCCCTGGACGGCGGTGCCACCGGCTCAGCCCCTCAGAGGACGCTCGGGCCCGAGGTTATGCGCGGCCGGATGGCTCCCGGCCGGGGACCGCGGCCAGTGCTGCCGCTGCTCGTGCTGCTGCTCGCGTCGCCAGCCCAGGCCGGCCTGTTCCCGCCCTACTTAAACCTGGCCACGGTGGCACGGATCTGGGCCACCGCCACCTGCGGAGAGACGGACCCGCAGAACCCTCAGCCCGAGCTCTATTGCAAGTTGGCCGGGGGCCCCTCGGCCCCCGGCAGCGGTTTCGGGATCCAGGTACGGTTCCCGCACAGGGCCGGGGCGGGACGCCGGGCGGCCACCTGGAGGTCCCCACTCGCGTTAGCGCCCCGCAACGGGGAAGGGCGGCCGCTGCCTCCGCGGGCTGGGGACCCGGTGGTGAGCCTGGGGTGGAGACTGTGCCGCCGCTCGCCGCTTGAGGCCGGGATGGGCGCGCGCGCAGGCGGTCACAGCTGCACTCGCTCGGGTCCTGCGCGCGGGAGGAGATGCCGACTGCAGTCCGGGGAGAAGCCCGTAGTGGTGACCTTCTGTGATGTATTTTGAGACAACTTTCAGGAGATATCAATAGTGCCACTGATGTCACCGAAAAAATAGAAACACCTCTCTGGCTTCGGGAAACGCCACCAGGCTGTCCCTGGAGCTGAGGAGACCTTCCGTGGCCAGAGATAGGCGTGGCGCACAAGCACTTAGGGGACCGATCCGGGGCTCCTGCTTAGTCAGCAGGTGTGCGTGCCAGGCCCTGCCGCACCGGCCTTGCCACCTGCAGGAGCAGAGCTGGGGGAGGGGAGCTAGGAACCGGCATTTGCCCTGCGGTGGGGCTGAGCGTTTGACAGCCCTTACGCCAAGCCATCCCCACTTCCCTGTCTTGGAAAAACTGCTAGGGAAGAGAAGTTTTGCCAGAAAAGGGAGTCATTTTAGAACTAGGGTTCCCAGAGTGCAAGTTCAGCCTGACCGAGGTGCACGGGTTTGGACCACCGCCACCTGTGGAGAACTACCTGGGAGGCCTGCCCAGCTCTACTGCAAGTTGGCAGGGCATCTGGGTTAGTGTGTTAGAGCCTCTTTTGACTGTGCATTTGCAGAAATGAAAAGTGATTGAACATGCAGTGCCATAGATGCTTATTTACTTACAAATTACATGCATGTATTACCATATTAATATCCTGACCATATTATAAAATAGGAAAGGTTAAAATAACAATGATTAAAATACTTTTAACACCTTCTGGATAATTTTGTTTTCTCTATTTAGAGATTGTGGGTAATTAAATGTACAAATGTATAGATTTTGATAGAGGTGGTGGCCCATACCTGTAAACCCAGCACTCCCGAGGCTGAGGCAGGCTGGAAGCTTGGCTAGAGTTTGAGGCCAGCCTGGGCTGCATAGTGAGTTCAAAGCCAACCTGAGCTACATAGCAAGACTTTGTCTCAAAGGAAAGAAAGAAGTGTTGATTTTGATACGTTGGCCTTAGCAGTTATGACTTGACAGCTCAGGATCAATGTCATATTAGTGCTGGATTTTAATCAAGGAGTTGTATAGCTGAGAACATATTTTAAAAAATGTAGGTTCCATTGGAAGAACGGCCTGGACTACAGAATTCCAGAGCCAGCTACATAATTTAGAGACCCGTGCAAAGTGGAAATATGGATTCCCTGTCCAAAGATTACTAGCACTTTTAAGATGGCAACAGCAGCACGTTAAACCAAACCCTGCTGAGTGGGGGCCCTGTGTGACTGCACCAGCAGATCATGGCACTCATCCCTCAGTTATTCTGAAGATTTTTAAAAGCAGAAACTTGGCTGGTAATCTTTCACTTTTCAGGTTGCATTCGGTACTTTCTGCTAAGAAAGCTTGCAGTTTAATGTTTTAAACAGTAGACTCAAAACTCGCTGCAAATTTTCTTTTGAGAACTATAAAATAGCTTAGAAAATTGCTTCCCATGTGTTAAAAATGCATATTTGTAGACTTACATAGTTCTTTCTGTTCACTGACAAAAGGATGATTTTCAAAATGCTTTTTTTCAAAGGCATATATTTCCTTAGGAAAGCATTTATTTTCTATACATTGTTAAAATAACACCTTTCCTTTGATGGGACAGAGCAAGTGCCATTATCATTCTGCAAATATTTATCAGATAATGGCAGCCACTTGTCATCCCAGCAGAAGTCAGTAAATTTGGATTTTTTCATGGAAAAAACATGTAACTCTTCTTTAAAAGGCCCTTCAAATATTTTATTATATGGTAACTCATGAGTTCCATGTAGTCAAAGAAATTTCATGGTCACTTTCCATTTCAATAGTGGTTTGTAACTTATTTGTTATTTCTAAGAAAGACTCTGTATGTTCGTATGACTAGGTCCATGTTAAGTTGCTGGGTGTGCTATGGAGTCAAACTGTGTCCTTTCTAGACACTCCTGGGCATTGGTAACTTGGGACCTGCTGACTTGTGTGTGTGAAAGTCCTAAGTCAATCTGTATATTACATATTTTTTTTAAACTTTTTTGAGACGATGTCTCGATATGCAATTCAGGCTGGCCTTGAGCTCACTTTGTAGCCCAGGCTGATCTCGAACTCGCAACGATCCTCCCACTTCAGCCTCCCGAGTCCTGGGATTACAGGCGTGAGCCACCATGCCTGGCTGTATATTACATATTAATAAAGCTGAAATTTTCATTTTTAAAATAAGGGTAACCAGCAGCTTTAATGTTTCCCTCATGCACTACACTGGATCACCTGGCACACCCGATGTTGGGAAAAGTGGTCCTAATTAAGGGTGGAGTAGATTTGAGGAAGGGAAACCATCGGAGAGACCCTCATCTGTCTCCACTCACCCGGATGTGGCCCAAAAGGACATTTTTCCTTCTCACCATTGACTGTGCCGGGGTTAACATGCCTGTGCAGGAGGACCAGAAAAATCATGTTTTCTGTTCCAATTGGACTTCCAGAACAGGTCATTAAATATGGGCTCCTGATCCTAGGGAGAGTAGAAGGTGGCTTTTTGAGGTGACCTAGCAGGCTCTGTCGCTAGGCCAGTGTAGAGCCTGCAGAAAGAGAATGCTGTCTGGTGCTGCACTCTTTTCTCTTCTGCAAATAAGGGCTGAGCAAAAGCCCTGCTCAACTGTGCATATGCTTTCACAGTGGAGGGTTTAGGCAGGTGTGCAGCTTGCTGATGTGAGTAGCATGCTGGGAACCTGAAGTGGACACTGAGGCCCCGAGGTGAGACGACGAGATGTTCATGAAAGCCCAGTGTTGGTAGCACATGGTACCGATTTGCCTTTCAGAAAAGCGAGAGACGGTGGAGAAGGGAAGAATGGTTGTGATGTACACATCTGTTGGTTGTATCAGACGATGGTTGGGTTGAATCTGCTCATGTACAGCTCCAGAGAGGAAACTGAGAAGTGTTAACTAAAATAATAGAGCCACGGTTTAGAATTTCAGACCTAAAAGATTTTGCAAAACGTAAAAATAAAGAAAGAATAAAGGTCATGTCTTGGAAGATTTTGTTCTATGTATTGATATTTTTGATGGTGCATTTATAACACTGATGCTGATACTGAATGGCAGCTGTGTGAATAGGCAGAGTCTGCTTCTTGTTTGGTGTGTGAAATATGCTCACTGTAGTGTTCTGGATTTAAGGTTCCTTTGAAAAAGTTTTATGTCCTCACTAATGCTCCAAGTTTTCTTTCTTTTTTTTTTTATTATTTATTTATTTTAGTCTTTTTGAGGCAGGGTCTCCTTATTTTGTAGCCCAGACTGGCCTTGAACTTGCAGCAATCCTCCTGCCTCAGCCTCCCAAGTAATGAGATCATAGGTGTGTCCCCCATACCTGGCAGCGCTCAGAGATTCTGTGACTCAGGGATCCTGTCCAGATTGTTCACAGTTGTATCCTCCATGTTTAACACAAAACCTGTAACAGTACAGGCAGTCAGAAAAGGTAAAATGAAGGAATGGTGAGAGGAAGGTAAATTAGAGGCTGTACCGAAGTTAAGATAAAGGGTAAATAAAGACAGTAGTTCTATTCTGTTGAGAAGTATTTAAAAACAAAACCTGTCACACTTTGTGCTTTAGATTTATTTATTTATTTGGTCTTTTTGAGACAGGATCTTGTTTTGCAGCCTTGAGCTCAGTTTGTAGCCCAGGCTGGTTTTGAATTTGCAATGATCCTCCTGCCTCAGCCTCCTGTTACAGCCTCCTGAGTTACAGGATTACAGGTGTGCACCACCGCCACCCAGCTGTGCTTTAGTTTTAATGTTTGCTTACCTAAAGCACATTGTGATACCTGACATAGGCAAGGAGAAAATGGAAATAGAAGACTATGTTGCAATATAAAATAGTGTTCAGTTCAACTTGGCATAAATGCTTTATTCATTTATTTATTTGGTGCTGGGGATTGAACTCACAACCTTGCGTTTGCCAAGCAGGCACTTACGCTGCTGAGCTAAATCCCCAGCCCTCTAAATACTATATTTATAAGGTTGAAATGTACACATTCACCCAACATGATCTATATTTAGTGTATCAACAGCTGAACACATCTTTTATTCATTCCTTCGTGGTTCTGTGACTTACGGATGGGCTTGTGTGCTTGCCCTTGTTGATACTGATAGAGAAACACAAACCCATGAGTCATGGCAGAAAATGAGAGTGCATGCTAGAAGCCAGAAAGCTGTTTCAGTGGTAGGTGTGTGTGACTTGGACTAATGGCCATAAACAGGAAACTCGATTTGGCTGTCTTTGTTTATAGAACTGTTGTGAAAGAAAATCATCAGCTAACTTCAACAAGGGCTTTTCCTCTCACTGATGTGAAAAGTTTGAGAGCGAGCCCAGGATCCTGAGATATTTGCTGTGTCCATTAATATATTTATAAAAATTATTAATGATAAGAATTATTTTGACACTTCAAACAAATGACTAGAGTCAGAAATGGAAGGGTGAGTGATTTTTTTGGTGAATAATTTTCCTAATATTTGTTCTGTTATTGTAGAAAGTAGCTGAATTTTGGCACAGAGAAGACAAATGTAAGTGTTTTTCCCTGGAGAATGAAGTTCACTCACTGCTAAGGAAGAGGATTTTATACACAAGACTTGAAGCAATTGATTTTCCCCTCAACAAACTACAGATTACTGCAGCACATAGAGTTTTTTCATCTGTTTGTTTTTGTTTCTTGATGTCTTTGAGATATGGACTCACTATGGAGTTCAGGTTATCTTTGAATTTATTTTGTAGCCCTGGCTGTCCTTGAAATCACAGCAATCCTCTT